CACAAGGTGTTCAAGGTATACAAGGTCCTAAAGGAGACCAAGGCATCCAAGGAGAAACTGGTCCACAAGGCGAGACTGGTGCTGTCGGTCCTCAAGGTCCTAAAGGAGATAAAGGAGACCAAGGTATCCAAGGACCACAGGGTGTTCAAGGTCCTAAGGGTGATGCTGGTAAAGATTTCTCTATTACTAAAACATATCCTAGCATCGCTGCTATGGAAGCAGACAAGGCTAATGTTCCAGAAGGTGACTTCGTAATTATTGCTTCAACAGAAGAAGACCCAGATAATGCCAAGATGTTCGTAAAAGATAAGACTGATTTTAAGTTTGTCGCTGATCTTTCTGGTGCACAAGGTGTTAAGGGTGATAAGGGTGACACTGGACCACAAGGACCACAGGGCGAACAAGGTATTCAAGGTGAAGTTGGACCACAAGGCATTCAAGGACCTAAAGGTGATACTGGTGCTCAAGGTCCTGAAGGTCCACAAGGTCCACAGGGTATCCAAGGCGAGCAAGGTATCCAAGGCATCCAAGGTGTTAAAGGTGATACTGGTGCTGTTGGTCCACAGGGTATACAAGGTATTCAAGGACCAAAGGGTGATACTGGACCAAAAGGTGATAAGGGAGATAAAGGCGATACTGGACCAGCTGGTACGACCAATTACAATGATCTTACTAATAAGCCAGACCTAAGTGTGTATGTTAAAAACACTGACTTAGCAACAAATGGTGGAGCAGCTGGCATTGTAAAAGTTGGTGATACATACGGAATTAAGACTACTGCAGATGGTACGCTATATGCTGTCAATAATGCCTATTCTACATATAGTAGTGCTAATAATAACTCGGTGATTTCAAAGGGTACACTCAATGCTGTCTTAGACCATGGAGTCACTCGCTTAAAAGGCAACGGTCGTATTGCGAGTGCAGATATTCAACACAATTACGATGATAACTTGGCTCACCAAAGACTTGATATTGTATCAAGCAGCATGACTACTCATAAGCCTGCTGGTGACGGATTTATCAATACATATAGCTGGGATAACTCAGGTATGTACAATGCTCAGCTCTTTATGCCTAACCATGGTGATACTAACAGTGGTCGTCCACAGGTTCGTTACCAAAATGCAGGTTCAAACAACTGGACTGATTGGAAAAGCTTAGCATATATAGATGATGTCAATAAGAACAATGGCATATCTTGGACTGGAAGAAATATCTTTAATCTAGTTCCTATTACCAATATCCAACCAACAAGTACTCAGTCTGCTACAGTAGAAACAGTAATGGACGATACATTAAAAAGAAATGTATTAAAAATCACTGCAACTGGTACGTACCCTGGTTTTAGATACCTCTTGCCTAATAACTTTGAAAAGAAGAAAAACTACGCAACAATCATTAGATATAAGCTAAGCGTTGATGCTGGATATACATCACTAGGTGGTGCATCGCTTAATGGTCGTAATAACTGGGAACTCTTTGGTAAAAACCAAGGAGGTGTTAAACCATCAGACCCATTCAAGGAATTCGTAAGAAGTTCAGAATGGATTTGTGGCATTTCTAAAGTAAGCAAAGACAGTAGCGAATGGAATTCATATAATATAGATTCAGTTTCTGTTGCACTAGGGTATGGAACGAATAATTCAAATGCAGTGTTATATGTATCAGATATCATGTTAATGGAGATTACAGATGAAGAATACAAAGACGATAGCTTCATGCCTAATATCGAATCCTACAACTTTGATGTCCATGGTCGTGAGATTATAAATACACCAAGCGTTTGGACTGGTAAGAACCTATTTATATCGCCAAGCGGAACTAATAAAGGTATAACAGTAACCCCTAATAGTGACGGAACATTTAATATATCTGGTACAAATACTAATACGGTAGAAACTATCTTTACGAAGTTTATCCTACTATCAGATTTCAATATCCAGAATGGAGAAACATATACAGCTTCTATTTCTGGAACTAGTATGTCTGGTTTTGGTGTACGCTTCGAGATGTATAATGGTACGACTTGGAAACGGGCATTCTTATCAATAAATACTTCGACTACGACAGCAACAGCCACAGTCAATGCTGCAGATGCTGATAGAATACGAATTGCAATCTCAGTTCCAGCTAATGGTACAGCTTCTGGACAGAATGTAAAAGTCCAACTTGAAAAAGGATCAAATACATTATTCGAGCCGTATGCTAGATACAATCACAATAAACCTATCTCAAATGTAGCAGACCCTACAAATGACCAAGATGTTGCAACAAAGAAATATGTAGATGACAAGAAAGTTGATATTGATTGGTCAACATTGGTAGCACCTACTGCAGAAACAGTAACAACTACTATGGGCGCAACTTATACTAAGTTTAACCAATGTCAAAACTCTATTCGTTCAGTATTCGGTGGACATGGCTTTGATTTCTCTGGTAGAGTAGATTTCGGTGGTACGACAGGTGCAGCAACAATCAACAAAACAGCAGTACCAGGATTAAGTAATATCTATGGATTCAAGACTAATTGCCAAGTACCAATTACACCAAGTGCAGCTATGAAATTTTCATCAACTGGCTTCTCATGGGGATACACACCAGGTAGCGACCCTGGAGCAAGGCTTTGGAGTAACAATGCGTTTGATAACTTCGCTGTCGGTACAGATGGATATATTTACCTAGCAGCAGATGGTAATAGTACACAGTCTATTAAATCTTGGGAACGCATACACTTCATCTTCCCAGGTGGTGTACACATGATTGATAAATAATCTTAACAAAAAGCCACCCCCTGCAGAGGGTGGCGAATTGTGAGAGTGGTAGCACTGCCTCCCTCTCGGATACTACTAGATATATCAGTGCTTTGTGGTTTCACTAGTCGTACTATCTACATTATACCAAAAAACCACCTCTCAACGGGTGGTTTTTTGCTTTCATAAGAAAGGCTTTTATGCCTAGTTTTATACTACTATGATTCGTCAGAATCTTCAAGTATCTCTTCAGCACTTACGAAATCTGTACCAATCCTTAGGTCGATTCTATTGCGTACACCTAATGAACTATCGTCAAAGTTCGTAAATGTTTTCTTGCCGATATGTTGTTCATACCAGCCCTCTCCATACCAATGTGGTAATTGCTTAACTACCACTTCGTTTCTATCCATCATTAAATACTTATCTGTAAAATATGTATAGTGTCTGACCTGATAGTTATATCCATAGTCAGTGCCATACGAGATAATGATTGGGTGAGACTTAATACCATCACAGTTCACCCAATCAAGTTTATCAAAACGAATAGGTATAGCATTCATGCCCTTCTTTACAGATAAGAATTCTCTATGTTGGTCTATCGATGAGTTACGCTTTACGTCTGTCTCATCTGCATCGTCAAGATAAACTACTGTCATTTTATTACCTATACTTTCTTAGATTACGATAGAATCCAGTGTTGCCCATATCAAATGGAGCAGGCATATCGGCATTCTGAATTTTCTTCTTTGCTGATTTAGCATTTTGGTTTCTCTCATAAGGAGAGCTTGCTCCATAGCTATTATAAAGTTGGTTTACCTTAGCATCCTTATCGAGCTTAACACTGTTTTCAATGTTCTTATTCATACCAAATAATGCTGCAAGTTGTGGTATTGATTCTGGGAAAGCAAGCATAGATAGACCTTGTAACATATTTGCGTTGATGTTATTACGAATGTTATCGTTATAATCTCTACGTTCTTCTGGTGTAAGATCTACAGCTGCTTGACGGTCAGCTTCTCTTTGAGCAGCTTGGTTCCAATTAACTAGACCATCCATGCCTTCTCTAATGCGAGTATCGTTATTAACCAATGCTTGCATCTTCTTAAAGTTCTTGATAAAGTTATCTACTGATTTACTCATGTTTCTCTCTTCACTCATTATAAATCAAATAGTCCTGAATTCTTAGTCCAGTTTCTATAATTAAATTTATTAAAACTTGGATTATCTGCAGAAAGAGCATTATTTCTAGATAAATTCAGTAATTGTCTTAGATTTTTATTAAAATTCTTATCACGATACCTACTATCATCATAGGGGTGAGTAACCTCTCCATCGTCAACAACTGAATTTCTCAGTAATCTAAAGCCGTTTTCTGCATTTAACTTATTTAAGAAGTTTACGGTTTGGTCGTAATCCATCTGACTGCCGTCATCAAGTTCTGCACCATAAATACTGATAGTGCGATTGTTATCCATAGTGTTATCGTTGCCAGACAAATCTTGGTAGACAGAGTACGATGGCATATACATTACTCCAGCTTTTCTCTTTCCATTCTTATTGTACTCGAATGGAACAGATAGAACTTGACCACCAACTGATTTTATCTTGTCTCGTTCAGTTTCAGCTTTATGCACAGCGAGACCAGCATTTGTGCGTTGGTCTCCTGCGACACCACCAAGGAACTTTCTTAATTCACCGATAAAATCCATAATTAAGCTCCCATGTTAATCATTAACTGTGTTCTGCTGATTGGGATGAATAGTTTTTGACCTGATGTTGGGTCAGTTACTGGTTCGCCACTTCCGTCAGTAGAAGCATAGTATTGTTGTGAAACGATGTAGTCGTGACCTTCTAGGATTGATACTACACCTGTGCCCTGTACTAATAATTGGTCTGTTGAGAATCCAAGCATTAAGAACATAGGATTGTGGTTCATGTCAGCATATTTTACAATATCTGCTGAACCTTCGTTTGATACATATCCAGCACGAACTTCGTTCTCTGGAACTTCGATTGCAACATTGTTTGCATCAATAGCTGCAACGTTTGCGTAGTTTCCCTGTGGAAATAGTTTCTTTGCAGGTACTCTTACAAGTGTACGGATGATGTTGCCAGTTGTAATATCTTCTACATCACGCTCTGCTAGAATGAAATCTGGTAGAGTAGCGAGAGTATCGATAGGCACGTCACCTGCGTATACTGTATCGACTGGTTGATTACAGTTCATTTGTTTCCTTTCCTTTATTATTCAAAGAATAAATCGTTAGTTACGTTATTATCTGGGTCGTGTGTATAGATACCAGATGTCTTTAGGTCTGCACCAGTGTTATCTCCGTATGCGTTAATGTTACCAAAGGCAACAGACACATCTTCTGGAGCACCGTTTGGTGGAGTGAGTTTCTGGTTAATACTTGAGATATTCTGTTCAACGCTTGTAACACGGTTAGCTAATGTTTGGATATTATTAACTACGTTGTTAAGGTTCTCAATTGAGCTTCCGATAGCATCTAAAGCTGCATTAAGATTAAATGCGTGGAACTTATTATCTTTAGCTTCAAAGATGTATACATCGCCATCAGTAGGCATAAATTCTTGGTCTACATCTTTAAGCTTTGTCATAGAGATAATTCTTGATAAATCGTCTCCATTGATACAATCTACTTCTCCATCTTCTCTAGAGAATTGGAGTGATTGTTTCTCTCCATCTGTTGGTACAAGTTCTAAAGTAGTTACTGTTTCACCAGCTTTGATAGCATCAGTTAAATCTACTATGCTATCACCCCAAGTAGTTTCAATCTTCAACTCTGTAGGGTTTTCTTCATTAAGAGAAGCATCGATATAAGCGTTGACTAGCTTACCGTCAATCTTCTCACAATCTAGATAGTTGAATTCAGTTGAGCGTGTAGTCATTATTGTGCCCTCTTAATTGTCATCGTGCCATCGCTTGCGATAGTAACTTTGACCTTCATAAATACTTGTTGTTTAGTGGTAGGGTCCTCGAAACATAGATGAGAATTTCCGTTAGCATCTACTGGTGGAGTTGATACTTCAACTGGTTGAGTATAAGATACTTTGTTAGCACCATTCCAACCTAACTGATAGTATTGGTTGGTTGAGACTGGATACTTGAGAGCTTGTGGTCTGTTTTGTGCATCGAAGCCCATAACAGTCTGTAAGCCATTCTCTAAATGTTCTTCAGAGTTCCAAGCGATCCAAGAGTTATTGATACCTTCACATCCTTGACCACAGTCAGAGTTCTTCTTATAAACAAAGAGAGAATTGTCTGTAACACCAGTAATATCTACATCGCCAATATCAGCGATATGGAAAATGTTGCCTAGCTCTTTTGCAGAAAAGCTATCAATATGTTTCTCGGCATTATAAACAAGAGTTCTGTTTGTATTATCAATACGAACAGATGTATCTGTTTCAGCAGATTTAACTACTGGCTTAAAATCATAATCGATAGACTTTCCACCTAGGTTCCATCTTAACCAAGCAGGTGTATCATCGTGGACTGGAGTGATGCTCAAAATCTGTTCTGGGCAGCCACAAGGTTGCTCACAACACTTCTTGCAAGGGTCGCAGTCATTACAATTACAATTATTATTCATACCTTTATTATGGCACATCTAAAAGGTAAAACCACAAAAATACCCCACTCGTCAGTGGGGATTTTAGGCAGCTCAACACGTGTTGGCAAAACTGTTGCTGCGTTTTGTGACATTGGCTATGCCACATCCAGTTACCTGAGGTCATTGTATCATAGTGATACTACTCAACGCAAGTATATCATTATTACATTATGCTTGCAACTCTAGTAATTATCTCGTAATCTTCATCTGAGCAAAGATGCTCACCATTATCGATTTGTTCCTTGAGTTTTTTAGCAACTCCATAAGCTGCTCTGATTTGGTCTGAGTCAGCTAAGAACTTTAATCTTTCAACTGCACTTCTAACATATCCATCTGAACTGCTAGATGCGTTGCCTAGTTGGTTGCCGTAAGCTGTGCGAATATATGATGCTGTATAACCAGGACCATACTCCATAGATAAATCATCTAAAGCCTTCAGAATCTCTTTCGAGTTTAGAATCTCATCTGGTGTAGCAGACATGACTAACATTTCAACAGTTGGTAAGAAGTTTTCTTCTATGTATTGCTGCTTTACTATGTTAGCACGGTCTTGCTCTTTTCTCTTATTAAAGTAGTCAGCATCTGCCTTAGCTCTGCGATATACTTTGTTGAGATTGTTGATAGCTTCTTCTGCTATCTGCTTGGTGAGGGTAGAAGTCCCACGTGGGTAGGACTTCTCCTTCTCTGCATCAATCTTCTTGCGAGTTTGTTGATAATAATCAACTGGGTTAGGGATAGGTACATTAGATTCGTCATCAACTTGGTCTATACCACGTTCGATAGGCTCATCCTTTATCATCATAGAATTCGCACTGTCAATAAGACTGTCTAGATTATAATCTTCCATATATTATGATCCTCCGAAAATTTTTTTAAGATAGTCCTTTGTTTTATAAGGATTATCTATAAACAATACTTCATCTAGATAATCTACTACCTTGCGTTGACTGAGTAGTGCATCTAATCCTACCTCATTCACGTATGGTGCCAGAATCCTTACAACCTTTTTATTCCAATCGGACTTAACTTGTTTCTTCTGAGCCTTCGTGCTCTTATTATTTATTTTACCATAATACTCGTTATACATAGCACTGCGAGTGATGTTGTTCTTATTAAGCTCATCTTCAATATTAGCAATATAAGAGTACGCATCACCATATAGAGTATTTTTAAACGCACCTTCGGCATAAGTATTGTTATAATCTGAGACTGGAGATCTTACCAACATATCAGCTCCAGACAAGGCTGCTAAATTTGTTGCTTGTTTATTGTTATAAGATGAGGCTTTATCTGTGAAATAATCACCAGCTGAATTCTCTGAGTATAGTCTATCCGTGTTTTCATCATACAATTTATATAAATAAAATACTTGATTGGCTTGTTTCCTTGACAATCCACCAGTAATCTCATAGGCATCTAGATATTGTGCTAACACGCTAGTTACTTTTATGCCGTAATTATTGATTATGTCCTGCCTTTGCTCCATTAACTCAATCTTTTCCTGTCCCTGAGAACCGTTAATTTTCTTGTTAATAGTAGCTATCTTGTTTTGTACATTGCTTTTTTCATCTTTTAGACTATTTATAGCATTGTAAAAACCACTCTCGGCTTGGTTATACTCGCCGCCAGTAAATGGCTTCATGACTGAGTCTGTCCAATCCTTTCCGCCTTGCTGCTCTTCTGTTGCACCAGCAAGTTTATCTAATTCATGTAGGATATATTGACCAACACTACCACCATATTCAGAAACGAAATTACTTAACATCCATTGTGGCATTCCAATAGCGTTAGAGACATTTTCTAAGGTCTTTGAATATTTACTCATTGTTTGCATCATGCCTGGAGTTGGGTCATAATTATCATACACGGCACCAGTATAGTTACTGTCAACACTGATGTTAGAGCCATAATACATATCTCGACCAGTTTGTGCTTCAATGAATGGTTGTGCCCATAATGGAACTAAACTAGAACCAACTTTTTCAAAACCTCTTATAATGTTAAAGCCATCTCCTTCAGAGAAACCAGATAGGTCAATTGGCGACAAATCATTCAACCCCTCAGCAAAGCATAGATAGAAAGCTTCTGGGTCTAATCCATTTAATGATTCAATCATTCTACGGTATGGAGTTAGAAAAGCTGCTACATTGTCGTCTAATGGAATTGTCATAATAGTACCATTATCAATTGGGATAATAATGTTATTAGCTCTTTCATATTCAGATAGCATAAAATATTTTTTTCTAGATTCTTCATTAGACAAGACGACAGCTACCATAGTGGCATACGCAGATACGGTCGTCTGAAGAGCTCTAGTCGTAGCAATAGGATCGTTTAAGTACGAATACTTGAATGATTCTAATGATGCAAATCCTTGTGTAAGATATGGTATATTGCGAGCAATCTTTTGGATGGTGTTGCCACGTCTAAAGAAGTTTACAGTGGCTTCCCTACCAGAGAAATACGCTGCTTCAGTAGCACGTTTTATTGAACTATCTACGTCATACCCTAGTGATTGAGATTTTCGGAGCTCAGCATAATATGCTGACTCCATAGCACGTTTACGAGTAAATGTCTCAGCCCAATCTTGGGGTGTACCTAATACCTTTTTAATATCAAAGTTTTTTACATCATAGATAAAGCTTATGAAGGCATTACCATCTGGTTCGGTTAAGGCTCTGACCATGCTCTTCTCCATGTTTTTTCTTGGACCTTCAAGTGATGCATTTAATGTTGACTTATCTATAGATTGTTTTGCTAATCTAAGACCACCCTTGATGCGTTTAACTGTTTCTTCATCATAACCATAATCATTAACTAGGTCGTTGAACATCTTATCTGGAGAAATAAGAATCTGTCCACCAGTCGACACTATACCTCTAGACCAGTCACGAGCTAAGTTAGGCAATACTCTCGTTGGGTCCATAGTAGTTGTTAGATAACGCTTAGCCTGTGCAATAGCACTAGATACTCTATTTATTCTGTTAAGGATCTTTCCAGAGATTGTTTTTGGAGCTACATACTCAGGAGCATAAAATTCTTCAACTAACTGTTCTGCACCTTTACCCTGAAGCTTCATACGCTGCTCTTTGCCATTAAGCATATATCTGATTGTGGTGTTGTCGCCATAGTTATCCAACATTCTGGTAGGCATACCATCTTCATCAATGAATGTTACTTCTGCTTGCTTCTCGCCAGTAACCTTACGGACAATCCTATCCATGATTTTATCAACTGCAGCATTTATTTTGTCGGCATTGATTCCTTTAGCATTTTCACGCTTCTTCTGTTTTTCTAACAAATCTTTTCTAATGGTATTGCGGTATTGTCTAGCTGCTAATCCAGCCTTACGCTCTATAACAGTCTGAGGATCAATCCATGGATTTGCTCGTTCAACAGCACGGTTTAGAATATCGTGTATCTGACCCTGGGCATTATCTGACTTGAGAGCCTTCTTAAGCTCATTTGTTAATGTTACATCCACAAATTTTTTTACGTCAAGTTTTACATTGTTGCCTTTTTGAGCTACTAATGCACGATTGATAAGATTTTCGGAGTATCGCTTAATATTATCTATGGCAGTTAGCTGAGCTTGCTTGTTATTTTCAATTTTAACAGCATTTTCATCGAGGCTAGACTGAATCGATCTTTTACCCTTGCCACCTTTTTTTAATTTTCGTTGCAAAAACCTTCGTTCATTACGAAGCTTTCTAGCTTCGTCCTTTAGCTGTTGTAGCTGTTCTGATGTTTTGATAGCCTTAGAACGAAGTACCATTTTGCCATTATTTGTTTGCCATTCTTCAAATGTTGGCATCTGGTTAGTCACTTTTGAAACAATATCGTTATATATGGCAGTAAAGCCTTTGTCATATTCCTTAAGGTCTTTAAATTCACCACTTGCATCGGCACTATCTTCTACAATATGAATTCCAACACCAGCGATATTTGCAGCTTCTCTGATTGCCAATGCCCTGTCATTTATAGCAACAGCCCTCATACCATTGTTGATATACCTAGCTAACGATACTAACGGATTATCGAGTTCATCTAGAGAAATAAGTGCCTCGCCATTTCTTACTTTTTTAAATAATGCTCTGTCTTGACTTATTGCTCCACCAACATTTGTTTTATGTTTCATATAGACTGGCAGATACATTCCGTTTTCATAGCCTGGTTGTTCTCTTAATTTTGAGGCTTCCTTTGCTGTCATCAAATCTTTTTCTACATAGAAATCTACGACATCGCTGGCAGCTTGCCTTGCTGCATTCATGAATCTATCTAGCATTGCCCTACGTTCTTTGTCAACTCCATTCTTAGCATCTGCATAGAACTTCTTAATCATTTCTTGAGCTTTTTCATCGCCTTCGTTCTTTGCTAAGAAGCGATATTCGTTTATAACAGCATTTATATAGTTAACATCAGTCTTACTGAATTTTCCAGCATCTCTAAGGACTTTACTTAACTCATCCCAATGTGACGAAACATTTTCTTTAGATAGAAATTCGCCAAGAGTGTCAGACGTAATCTGCTTAATATCACCTGCAAAACGTAGGAATTTCTGGTATCTATATTTATCTGCGACAGATCTTATTTGAACGGCTAGCTTCGACATAGCTGCATTCTTATCGAAGAACATTTCTTGAACTTTTAATGCAACATTATTATTAGTAATCTTGTTTATAGCATCAGCACGTCGTGCTGCCAACTCATCTGATGTAATTTCTACTAACTTAGATTTTCTATCTCCAGTAAATTCATTTACCAAAATATTATATCTAGGATCGCCTTTCACGTCTTTGTATCTCATGTAAGTGGCTTTTCCAGTTTTAGTATCTTCTACTAAAACTCTATATTCCATCTTGGTATTATTTATTCTACCGACAAATTGACCAGGACCATAAGTGATCATCATATCCATCATGACATCCTGTCCAAATTCAGATAAAAAGTCATAGTCTTCTAAGTTTCCAGTCATGGCATACGGAACTATTTTAGCT